ATCAAAACGAAAACCTAAAAACAACACATAGATTCCCACCACAATGGCCAAAAGCACTGGCTGTTTCCTCCTCGGCCAGAGACGGCAGCTTTCCTCCGCTGAGCTGTGGTCACTCGTGTTTGTGATGTGGCAGCTCGTGGAGACGCCATGTGCACTGGGAGGGCCCAGGAGAGCACAGGCCCTCCAGTGGGCTCAGGGGCAGCTCAGAGCCAGGCTGTGCTGATGGAAGCGGGAGTGTCTGGCCTCCTCTCTCCTGGCTCTGTTTCCTCTGTTGTCACCTGCTGAGCCTAGTGCTGTGCCGGTTCCTGCTTAGAACCTCACAAGATCCTCCAGGAAGAACGCAGGTTCACTGCAGGGGCCAAAGCAGCAAGCCCACCCTCTAAAGCAGTGGTTCTCCACCTTCCTAATGCCGCGACCCTTTAATACAGTTCCTCATGTTGTGGTGACCCCCAATTTCACTGTTACAAATTGAACATAATGAAAGCATAGTGATTCATCACAAAAACAATATGTAATTATATATGTGTTTTCCGATGGTCTTAGGCGACCCCTGTGAAAGGGTCGTTCGACCCCTAAAGGGTCGCGACCCACAGGTTGAGAACCGCTGCTCTAAAGGAACTCTCGAAGCAGCCCTGAGAAGTGCTTGGCACCTTGTTAATTTAGGCAAATTCGTGGTAAGTTAGGGTTGGGCCTGTGGGGCAAAGGGAAGCTAAATTATAAAACGGTGGCAAGGAAATACAGTTTCAGCGCACATGGGACCAGAACTGCCCTCTGGTTTTTGCCTTGGCATGGGGTGGGGGAGCCTCTTTAAAGAACAGCTAAGAAGTGGGTACAAATAGCAGAGTGGTGCCATGCACCTCAACGGGGGGGGGGGGGGCGGTCTCTGAGGCACCTGCTGTGCAGTTAAGTAGCTTTGTGTGCAAACCCTTCATTTGTTAAGCCTTGCACGTTTGAGCAAAGACACGGGTGACTTTAACTCAAGTGTCAGGAATTCTGAATTGGAGAGGTTGGGACTTGCAATGACTCAGTTAACTTGGACACCAAAAACGTGTTCTGGTGACTTAGGTCGGGACGGGGAAGTTTCATTTCTCCTCACGCGTTTCCAAGGGCAAAAAAGTCTGCGGCAAATGTAAAAGCTGAGCAGTGCGTTCAGTCTTTCTGGTTATCTTCACGACAGGATCCTAAACGCCATTCCTTGGGGGGTTTCTGTCGCAACCTCAGCATCTGAAGCTAGCACCAGGCACAGAAGGGCCCCAGGGAGAAGCTGGTGCCATTGCCACACCTGGCGCAGCAGCAATTTCGCTCAGTTAGCAACACTGCCACCAGTTTGAATCAATGTTGTTAACTTAAGTTTTATTGACTTTGGAGATTTCTTTGTATTGACTTGTACATTTCTTTTGAGTGTATAGTTGTAATGGGCCTGTGAGCAGAAGCCATTTTACATTTATACATATTTGAGAAACACTAAATTGAAAAATAAATTAGGCCCACCCTTAAGGTCTGTGAGGGATGTTTTCCTTTTCTTTAGAAGGCCTCCCTCTATGACTTTTCCTACGAAATTGTACATAAGCATTTTCCACAGTATAGGCCCCAACCCTGTGGCCAATTGGAACCTGGCTTCCTTAGCCAAGAAAGGTACCCGTTTCTCCGGAATGGACTCTGTCCACCGATAAACTTGCCTATGGGATCGAGATTGTTTCTCTCAGAACCAGCAGTGCTCAAGCTTCGAGGTGGGCAGGGACTTTGAGGTGCACGGCCGATGTGAACCGCACGGCCGCTGTGAACACACGGCCTATGTGAACCGAAGCTGATCTTGTTTGCAGAGCTCCAGAGGGAGGGACGCTGGGAAGAGGTTGCTGAGACTTGGCCTTTATCAGCAAGTTTTGCTTGGCTCACTATCAGCAAGTTTTCTGCCCTAAACAAGCAGTCTCTAGACTTGAGCAAGCAGATACAGGCTGCTTACCTAGACAGGTGGGCAGGCATCCAGTGGGACAGTGGATTAGATATATTGATCCTGGAGCAATAGGACCCCCTGACCATTTGTTAAAGATGCTGGTAACAGCTGGCGAGGCCTGGCAGTCTGCCGTGTTCTGGGACCATCGGCAGCATCGTGATCCTGCCTGGCTTTCTCATTCCTCAGCTTGGCTCTCTGTGCTTGGGCAGGGCCGGGAGCCCGTGACAATAGGCAGCAGGCAAGCTGAGAGCTACACTGAGAGATCCAGCCATCAGCTAGGGCCTCTTTGGGGAAAGAACACTGGAATCTGCAAATATGCTAAGACCGCCCTCTCTTCCCCCTGCCATTTATGCCAATAGGTGAGACCCCATTTCGTGACTGCCCAGGCTCCAGCGGTGGGGAGGCCCAAATTATTGTGTCTATTTCCTTCTCTCAATATAAGCTTCAAAGGCCAAAGGTCATGACATTCATCAGGCACTTGCTCAATGTCCGTCAGCTTCTTCCTGCCTCCCTCCCTGCCTTCCAAGAAGCGAACCACAGGGTATGTGTCCAAATGTACTTGTTGAACTGGACTGAATGGCCTCTAGAGTGTGATCCCCATACTCAGGTCTAGGAAACGTGCCTGACAAGTGGCAGAGCAGAGGGGCCAAGAGACATGGCTTCGTGATTCCGGAGAGGAAGGGGCAGCGGATTTGGAGCGGATGATCTGCCCGCCCAGCTGCTGACCCGGAGCTCAAATCAAAGCAAGAGGCTGAAATGCACTGGGCTGGGAACCTGAGGCAGCCACCTGGCAGGTCCCAGATTTCATCGGCCACCTGGTTCCCGATCAGGCTCCAGGGCCTCCCAAGCCCATCCCCGCCCCGGCCAGCTGTCCCTCAGCCCTTCTCAGAGCAGCAGTGTGGGAGGAGGAGAAGCAGCATGCCAGTCAGGGACAGCGCCCTCATCCCAGCTCTGGGAGAGTCCAGGGCTGCCCGGGCCTGACTCCTGCCCTCTGTGAAATGGGGATACTTTGCGAGAACGGTGGGAAAAACAACAGCTGAATAAAAGATGGTTTCAGAAGCCCAAGGAAAGAGGCTTGGAGTGGCTGCAGTTGGTGGCTTCAGGCCCAAATTGTGCTTTCCCAGCCTTTTCTATTTCCCCCTTTTCCAGCCACCAGAATGAGCATAAAAACACATTGGAGAAATAGCATATATAGATGCAAAGACATTGGCTTTGGTAGCTTGGACATGACTCAGGAATGCCATCTGCGGTATTTTTTGTCCTATAAATTGAGGGGGGAAATAGAGAAAAGAGAAAGAAATAGTCACCAGACAGGGGAGGGGGGAATGGTTGGAGGGGCAAGGTGATGGGATGAGGGACAGCCGGAGACAAGCAAAGGTTGTCAGAACTCAGCTGCTTCTGCAGCATCACTTGTGCAGCTGCGAGTGAGGTAGACTAACTTGTCCCTTCTCAAACCACAGGTGGTGCCGACTTCCAACCAAGAAGTATACCATTTCCCTCGAGCCCCAAACTTAGAGCCTGCTGCCTACAGTCTCTGGAACTTCCCAATTCCTCCAAAGGACCAGGGACCCCAGTCTCCCTCAGGGCCCTGCTTCTCTTCTCTCCTTCACCTCTGGCTTCGTTAGTTTCTCTTCTCTGCCTTGGCTCGTGGCCTGCCACCCCACTGGGACCCTGCAGGGCAGAGGGTGCTGACTGGGGATACCGGCCTCATGCTCTGGCCAGTTTCCCAGGTTTCCTCACCTTTGGGAGGAGCCAGGTGTGAGTGCTGACAGCCTGTGCTGATATGAACAGACAGCCCAGGCCCCTTGGATGCTGAACCAAGGGCGAGAGCACATATTGGTGCCTGGAGGCAAAAGCTTCCCCCAGCCCTGAACCAGCTGCCCACACTTCCCCCAAACAAGGAGGCCACCCAAACATCCCGTCCTGCTGCTGGTGACACTCAACAAGAGCAGTGTTTCTCTGGGGAGTCCCAGGCACTTCCTGCTGTCGTATTCTGGGGGTGCAGCCTGAGAGTACAGGTGAGCCCGATGTGCCGTGAGCATGCCAAGTGCTGAGGTCTGGGCTCCCATTCCCAGCCAGCCATGGCTTTGGACCTTGTGAGAACAGAGCAGGTCCTTGGGCTTCTTTGGTCTGAGGCAGTCTTGGCCCATTTCCTGTCGGAGGGAGGATCCCATGGGGCCCACTAAGACCCTCACAGGGATTTGGGCTCAGTCTCAGCTAATGGTAAAAGAGGATGATGCTGTCCTTGAACTTTCACAGTAAGACCCACACGGGAGTGAGAATGGCTCGGTCAGGGCAGGACTCTTCCCGAAGCACCACCTTGTGGTATGACCTCAGCGTCTCCAGGACCCGACATGGGACCCTTGGAGCTTCATCCTTTTCACTTCACAGTAACCCTCAGACTCTGATATTGAAGTCTGATGGACTCATTACCAAGCAACAGCAGTTTCCAGCAATGCGCTTGTTGACCCCGATTCTCGTAGAACCAACAGAAAAATGGCAACTGGTCAGCATATCTGTGTGTCATGTGACACCAAAGGAGATGGGCCTTCCTGGCCTCCTCAAGGGAAAGAGGCGCAGGGCTGTCCCAGCCTAGGGGCCTCCCATTTCTTCCATAAGCATTTCCAGGACAGACGGCCTGGCGCCTCTTCAGATTTCACCCTTCCGTGAACAGAAGGGCAGATGCTCCCACCACGACTCCATGGCCTCCAGAGGTGGGGGTCGGCGCCTGGCAGCAGGAGGGGGCGGATCTGGATGGCTCAGCCAGGTCGCCCCCAACCCTCTTCTTCCTTAGAGGTTCCCGCACCGGCCTGACCCTCCTAATCCGGCAGGGGGCCTAGTAAGCCACTGCCGGAGGTCAGCTTGTCCTGCTTTGGGTTCGAGGCGAAGGCCAGTGCAAGCGCAGGCTGGATTTGTCTCAGCTCCAGGCTGTGAGGGTTTTTGAATGTAATAAGACCAAACCCCCAAACCAACGGGGCCCTCCGCCACATCCCAGGAACTCCCCGAACTCCAGGTTCCGGAGAAATCAAGAAGCAAACAAGGCTGCTTTGGGAAGTGCTCACATGTATTTATTTCACAAGGGGGAGATGGAGTGGGCTGACCACCAACAAGATGCCACCAAATGAGACATATGAACCCTAAACTGGACAACTACAGGGTTTGGTTCTGGGCAGGGCTTGACCTTTGGGGACAGCATGAGGGAGAGGGATGGGAACTGGCAGAAGGACAGCCTTCTTCTGTCTGGGCACCACATGGGCAAGGCTGAGCCACATCCTTCTGGCCACATGTGTGGCCACCCCCACCCCCCAAGCTTCTCAGCAGCCTTGTCCTGATCCAGGTGAGCGATGAAGCGCAAGCCCAAAGCCATACTTCTACGTCTGCTCTACCACACTCACACGCACCCAGACGCACAGGCCACGTGGCGTCACACATGCACACACGCACATGCAGCTGCACACGCCCTGCCACGCGCACCACACAGGCACACATACTCATACGCATGCACACACGTCCATATATTAACTCTGATTTATAAGTGCACCCTAACCAGAGGGCAATCGAAAAAATTATTACTCTTCAGAGAGGAATCGACTGCCTTCTCCCCCGTCAGCCAGTAGAGTGTGGGCTGAAATGAGATGAGCACAGAGCAGACCCCAGGGTCCTGGCCCCCTTTGCTGTGCTGGCTCCAGTCCGTAAGCTCCAGTCCCCTCCCTGCTCCCCCTGCAGCAGCCTCTGAGTCAGGGCTCCCTGTTCCCTGGGCAGGCGAAGCGGCACTGGCCTGGCTCCAGCCTGGGTCCCTCACAGCTCAGCCTACTCTGTGTGCTCAGCCGATTCCTGTCTCAGCTCTCCAGACACAGGCAGAAGAGCTGGCCCAGGAACATAGGAGCCTAGTGAATGCACAGGCGACCATGGAAGTGTCAGCTCCAGGCCATCGGGGGGAGAGGGGGCGAGGGACCAGAAAAATCCAGAGCTGTGGCCCCCAGTGCCACCTAATGGACAGGTTTGGGCTGGAGGCTGCCTTGGTTGTGAGAGGACATCTGGGCAGAAGCAACCTCGGGGGAAACTGAGTCTTGAGGCCTCACTGCCTCCTCTGAGCAGGGAGAACTAGGATGTGGCTGAGCTCCTCCCCCACTTTATTGAGGGCTGGGGTGGAATTCGAAGCTGCTGCTGTAAGAGATGAGAAAGAGGAGAGGCCCTGCCAGTCCAGTCCTGATAGCGGGTGGGAAGGTGACGACAGAGATGTGGGTGCTTCACTCCTCGGTGCCAGGTCCACATCTGGGCTGCAGAAGACACAGCGCCTGGGTTCCCAGAGAAGGGTGGGGGCGGGGCGCTTCCCCAGGGTGCAGGAGCTGAGTGCCTGAGGTGGACACGGCGTCTCCATCTGGCCCCCTGCTCCCCCCACCTGCCCCGCCCCGCCATGCTGCCCTGGAGAAGCCCACGAGCACCTGCTGGCTCCCAGCTGTTTCTCCACCAGCGTAGCTGGTCCAGAGCACGGGCAGACCCTGCCCTGGGGGCCAGTCTCCAGGTCCCCAGCTCCTCCCCACTATTTGATGGAATTCTTAATCGTCCACCTCTGTCCCGTGCAGCTGCGGAGGATGAGGTCAATGCCAGCCAGGCCACGGTTCTCCACCTCCAGGCAACGCCCAGTGCCCTTATTCATAATGGCTCCATTCTGGGTAAAAGGAGGTGAGGGAGGGGAGAAAGGAGGGAGGGAGGGGCAGGGGGAGGGAGGGAGGAAGAGGGGGAGGGAGGAATAGGGGGAGGGAGGGAAAGAGAGAAAGAGAGAGAGACTTAACCACTTTAGTGCCCAGCACATGGCCTCTCATGGGAACAATCCTGTACAGGGGAGCGATGACTGGGGCCTCCTCTGGAAATCATTAAGTCAGACAGTAAATAAGCTTCATCAAGTCTGAGTGGCTGAACCAGGTGATGAGGATCGAGGGGAAATGGTGTCAGAAGGAGGAATTCCAGGGATATTCTAGGTCTGATTTTCTTAATCTTACTGGCTCTAGGTACTTGGCCGATTTCAGGAAAATCACCCCCACACCCTCCTCCCAAGATGTAGCAGAGCCAACCACGCCTCGCTGCTGCAGGGAGGCGGAGGCTGTCTCCCACGAAATCCCCCCACTGACTCCCCCCAAATATACTCTGGGTCCAGGCGCCTGGTCCAGGGCTGGGAGACCTTCGGTGCACTGTGCTGGATTTCCCTGTGATCTGCAGCATCCTCACCTGCTCTGGGGTGCCAGTCCTGTACATGGAGCACTCACCTGGATGAAGTTCCACCTCTTGTACAGGCTGCTCTTGACCTTGTCGCAGTCAAGCAGCTGGGGCAACCGACTCTTGGAGTTGTCTACCAGGCAGCGGGTGTCGGGGAGGAGCGTGGTGGTCCCCAGGGCTCCCAAGTGCAGAAAGCCTTCCTTGGTGTAGCGGGCCAGCTGGGGAGCGAGAGCAGAGTGGCAGGGGAGGAGGGTCAGGAGGGTAGGGGCAAGACCATGAAGGAAAACAGGGCTGAGGTCTGCAGGTCTCACCCAGGCCTCTGTTCGCGCTGCAGCCCTGGCTACCATCTCAGGCTTATCACACACCCACATCCCCAACTCACAGGGGAGCCCTGGCCAGGAGCCCTCTGGTTTGCTAAGCCAGGATACTGATTCCCCTCATCCACTCTGATTTTTTCCTAAGCATGTCCTTGTCAATGTTTCAGGAGTGCAGCCTTCTGTCCAGCAGCACAGGGAGCAGGAATAAGTAAGTGAAAGAGCAAGATAGCTGATTTCTAAAGCTTGGCTCTGCTTCCGGCTGGCTGGGCCGCCTTGAATAATTCACTTAACCTCTCTGAGCCTCCATTTCCTCCTCCTTTGTAATTGGGGATTAATGAAATCTACTGCTGCAAAGGACCCAAAGAGGCAGTGCCCGAAAGAAGGAATAGACATTATTAAAAAGCATGCAACCTCATAGGCTCTTAAATAAATAAAGTAGCAATGTGATACCGCATTTTTAAAAAGAACTTATTCCTATTTTTTCAAGGTTAGCATAAGATGGGCTGGCAGGAGGGTAAATTACTACAACCTTGCAAAAAGGGGATTTCAAAATACACACTTTGTGCTTTTAAAATGTTCTCCTTTGACTCAATAAATCCACTTTTAGAAATGTATCCCAGGGAAATAATCAGAACTGTGAACAAAACTTTATGTATAGGGTGTTTACTGCAACATTATTTATAACATCCTACATGTGCAACAACACAGCCCTGGTACTGGCTTTCTGCTCCATGTAGTACTGCAAGGAGTGCTGGGCGATTGTGGGAAATTGCAAAAATGGCCTCATCCTTCACTCTTCCTCCTGTAAAACATTGGTAACGTGACTCTGCAGCAGTTTCCATCATATCGGTGACTTGCTTTGGCCAACAGAATGAAGAAGATGTGAGGATGTGCCTATTCCTGAATTAGACCTTGCATACTTCCACCCTCCTGAAACCTTGTACCACCACTGTAGTAAGCTCAGGACGGACTGCTAGAGGATGAGGGACAACCACCAGACAAGGGGATGAGGTCACCAGAGGTCAGGTAGCCCTCAGCCAACCTGATAGCTGATTGGAGGCTCATGAATGAATCCCGCCAAGATCAGCTGAGCCTGGTCCAGGTCACAGAACCATCCAGCTGGCCTATGCACTCATGAGAAATAATAAATGCAGACTGTTTCATGCCACTAAGTGTGGGATAGTTGTTATGCAGCAATAGCTAACTGATATAGAGATGGTGTTGCCTGCCGACCGTTACCCCAGCAGGGTTCCACTCTCCTGCCTGTCCGCATTGTTTAAAACTCTATTCCAGAGGTTCTCAACCTGTGGGTCGCGACCCCTTTGGCGGTTGAACGACCCTTTCACAGGGGTCACCTAAGACCATCCTGCATATCAGATATTTACATTACAATTCATAACAGTAGCAAAATTAGAGTTATGAAGTAGCAACGAAAATAATTTTATGGTTGGGGGTCACAACATGAGCAACTGTATTTAAAGGGCCAGAAGGTTGACAACCACTGCTGTATTCCAACTTTTGAAGAAATGGATTCACCTGCCATTCACATCCTTCAGGGGCAGGGACTGTGTCCAATTCCTTTCATTCATTGCTAGGAGGGCCATCACAGACCAAGCACTCAAAAATGTGTTTGTGAATGAGCACACTGTAAATCTAGTAAACATCCTCATTTAAAAAAACAAATGAAGCCTCATATACAAAACTCTACAAGCATGTTTTGAAGGCTCCTCTGTGTGCCCAGCCTGGGACAGCCTTCTCGGTATATAAGGACGGGCGGGCGGTGTTCCCACTGAGATGGTCCCAGTGCAGGCTGGTGAGGGCAATGAGAGAGGCTAGCACGCTCCTCCTGTTTGTTCTTACAGTCTTAAGCAGTAACTAGAGTAGGCGTGATGACTATTGATATAAAGGTTCCTAAACAAATAAAAAAGTAAAATGACCAGCTTGGAGGTAGTGAAGGCATGCCCTGCATCGTTTCTAAGATTGTACCGGGGGTAAATAATGGAATTGTCACAAAACCCTGTGAAACAGGTGCTACTACTCACCCCATTTTAAAGACGAGGAAACCAAGGCATGAAGACATCTGGTCACCTGGTGGCCCCGGCCTCTGTTGGGTGCCTAGGGACCCTATGGTTGGTGGCCCTGGCCCAGCAGCTGCGCAGCAGAGGGGCCCCTCCCAGAGGACCCTCTCCTCCTCCCAAGAGCCTGGGCGTTTCTGGCCAGGGATGGAGCAAGAAGGCTGCTCTGCTCAGGGACGGGAGTGCCTCTTCTCAGGGGATAAGATTCTCCTCGGGCGGCTCTCAGCTCCTGGTAGAAGCTGCGCAGAAACCCTCTGCTCTGATCCCCAAAGGGAAGCCTGCCTGGTCCCCCCGAAACAAGTGGCAGAGAGTTTATGAGGTGCCCTTGAGAGAAATGCAGTTAACATGTGCTTTAAACTCAAATTAATTCCAAATCAGAGTAATTGTTAGAGGCAAAATGATAAGAAAATCAGAAACTCTCCCCACCCCTCCTTAAACAATGTCTCTGAATATATTTAAATTCACCAAATGCAAAGTGATGAATGACAACAAGCTGCCTTTATGTTCAGGGGAAAGATATACACAGCTGCTTATTGAAATTATGAATCAATCTATTATCCAGCAGGCAAATGAGTAGCGCTAAGAACATTAATTAACTAAACATATCTGTGACCCAGATGTTTAAAGAGTGACGTTAAACGCCCCTGGGAGTTAGGGCATGAAACAAGGAGACCCAGGCTGCTAGGACCTGCCAAGGCCACACACCAGCCCCAAGCCCTGCAGGCATCCGGGTGGGCAGGGGGCTGAAGAGGCCTCTAGGATTTCTGTCCTGGGGGAAGGCTGATTCTCATACCGGAAGTACCAGGATGCGTGTATAGGCTCTGCTGGCCCCGCCAAGGGGCCAGGGTCAGGGGAAGGACGCTGTGGTCTGAATGGACGTGGGGCTTACGAGGCAGGAGGATGGTAAGTGCTGAGACCTGACATCCCTCTCCCCTTTTCCTCCACTCCCGGATTGACAGTCCGCCTAGTCCACCGCCCCCCACTTCCCACCCCCATGCTCCCTCTTTAAACACCTCTGCTCCCTGTCCTCTGTAAGTCCAACAGGCTCTCCATCTCCAGGGCCTTGCTCCAGCAGTCTCCCTGCCTGGAAATGCTCTGTATTGGCCTTCCTCTAGGACTTTCTGGCTTCAGAATTCCCAGACCTCAATGCAGGTCTCTCCATTCCACAATGTCTTTCTTCTCTAATGCATTCTGTCATCTCCTGTCAAGTCTTTGGCACAACACAGATCCATACGCTGGCTACTCGGGGTCCCTTGCATTTTCATGTGAATTTTAGGGTCAGCTTTTTCATTTCTGCGAGCAAGGCCGTTGGGTTTTGATGGCGATTGGATGGAATCTGGAGATTAGCTCAGAACTGCCATCTTCACAGTGGTGGGTCTTGAACACGGGAGACCCTTTTTATTTAGGTCTTTCATTCCTTTCAACCGTGTTTGGTTGTTTTTGGTGTAAAAGTCTTACACTGCTTTGCTTACATGTGTTCCTAAGCATCTTCTCTTTTTTGACGCTATTGTAATGGTACTGATGTCTTATTTCCTTTTCAGGTGTTTATTGCCGCCAGCGTATGCAGTACTGTCTTCCGTGAACCGCAGGCCGCCATCTGGTACCTCGGGGTCACCCAGAACTGCGGGCTTAGAAGGTCCCCTTGGTTCCTGCCTCCACGGACCAGGGCCAGGTGCCAGCTGCCCGCACCCACTGCAGACCCACCCGTATTCCACTGTGCCTGCCTCACCTCGCTCTCTCAGCTTTTCCTTCACTTCTTGTGACTCTCTGTCAGACAATACCCTTCTCACCCCTTCAGGGTCTAGATTTTAAAAATGTGTCCTTCCTCCTCCATCCCTAGCCTGGTGTCCTGTGCCTTCATGGCCCTCTGGGGATCTTGTCTCCTCCTTTGTTTGGAAGTTATGGCTCCTACCCCTCAAAACCTGACTTCCTTCACATTCCCTCACTTCCTCTCAGTCTCGGCCCTCTCCCCACTCTGCAGGCACCTTAAGTCATTATTTCTCCTGTCTCTTTCATTTCTTCCAAGCTACAAACATAACCAAATATATATGCCCCCCCCCCCCCCCCAAATCCTCTCCAGTCACAGCTCTTATTACCTCCTAATTTTGTCCTTGGAGTTCCTCTCTCTAATTCCTCAGTGCCTTGCAATTTGGCTTCTACCACCACTACTCATGGAAATTGTCAACAAGATCCATTAATTATCAACTTCAATTGCTTTTTCTTTGTCTTTATACTAGAGGCCCAGTGCACAAAAATTTGTGCACTGGGGGGAGGGGTCCCCTCAGCCCAGCCTGTGCCCTCTCCCAGTCTGGCCACGCCCCCCAGCAACCCAAGCTCCTAGCCTCTCCTTTTTTTTCTTTCTTTTCTTTTTTTTTGGAAGCAGGTATCTGGGATTTATTTATCTTCTATAATTGAAACTTTGTAGCCTTGAGTGGAGCCCAGCGCCGGCCAGGGCAGGTGGGAAGCTTGGCTTCCTCCAGTGCCAGGGGCAACCCAAGCCTCCTGCTCTCTCCAGCTCCATGGCCGCTGCCATCTTAGTTGGGTTAATTTGCATACTTGCTCTTGATTGGCTGGTGGGTGTAGCAGAGTGGCAGAGTGATGGTTAATTTTCATGTTTCTCTTTTATTAGTGTAGATTGGGCACTAAATGTGGGACAGATGCTGTGCTGGGTGCAGGTGATACATGTCTTCTCTCTACACCCATTCTCTTGGAGAGCTTGCCATTCTTAGGGCTGTCATAGCATCTATATGGTGACTTTTTCTGATTGTGCCAGATTTCTATCTGCAAACCAAACTTTCCTCTCAGTTCCAGATTTGTATATCTAAC